TCCGTCTGTCCGTCTGTCCGTACGTCCGTCTGTCTGTCCGTCCGTCCGTCACAAAACTTGTCCGGACTACCCCTCATAAACTACTGGTGCAATTTCATCCAAACTTTACAGGAATGATCAGTATCAAGTCTAGTTGTGCATATTGTCAGCATTTGCCGGTTCAATGATTTTTGTCAGAGTTATGGCCCTTTAATAATTTTTAATTTTAAAGTTTGTCCGGACGTCTTCTCTTATACCACTAATGCAATTTCAATGAAACTTTACAGGATTGATCTGTAGCTCAAGTCCTTGCGCATATTGCAAGGGTTTTCCGGTTGAATGATTTTGGCCGAGTTATGGCCCTTTGATAAAAAGGTGTTTTTTTCTGTGTGTTGCCAGATACACAATAGCTTGTCCGGACTACTCCTCATAAACTACTGGTGCAATTTCATCCAAACTTTACAGGAATGATCAGTACTAAGTCTAGTTGTGCATATTGTCAGCATTTTCCGGTTCAATGATTTTTGTCAGAGTTATGGCCCTTTAATAATTTTTATTTTTAAAGTTTGTCCGGACTAGTTCTCTTATACCACTTATGCAATTTCAATGAAACTTTACAGGATTGATCTGTAGCTCAGGTCCTTGTGCATATTGCACGGGTTTTCCGGTTGAATTATTTTTGGCTGAGTTATGGCCCTTTGATAAAAAGGTGTTTTTTTTGTGTGTTGCCAAATACGCAAAAGCTTGTCCGGACTACTCCTCATAAGCTACTGGTGCAATTTTATCCAAACTTTACATGATTGATCAGTATTTAGTCTAGTTGTGCACTGTCCGTCTGTCTGTCTGTCACAAAATTTGTCCTAACATGAAATTGGCCATTATGAGGCGACACATGTGATTACTGATCGCTCTTGTCTTTTTAACTTTTGTACATATTTCTAGTTGATCTATGTGAGAAATTAAAATTTTATGTTTCTAGGCTTTTGGACCTCAGAGGAGTTCCTTGAAAAATCAAAGAAAATCTGTGAAAAAGTCATTAAGAACTTCACCCAAATCAAACCAAGCACCATTTTATAAAGTAAAACAACCCCTTAAGAAAACACTTTTCCCGGGAAAACTTCCCTATAATCCGGTCTTCGTCCCCGGGGACGTTGTCCACAACTTTTAAAATGTTATAATATATTGCGATGGCATGATTATGCCAACCTAATACAAAAATGTATGTTCGACGAGATGTGAAACCATTCAAAAGGTACCATTAACACTAATAGAAAGTCAAAGTCAATGAAACAAGACCATTTTAACCTCAGATTTCAAAATTTTCTCAGTCTGTGGGAGGGGAAAACCCTCACACATCACCTCATTTACATAAGAAAGTAGTTTAAATACTGTATAAGAGGTGATTTGCCATTTATGGAATTTGCTAGAGACATCTATTACATTTTTGTCACATATTGGCCGAATCTTCAAATAACACGAACTTTTCGCCTGTCGCATCGCTTTCTATTGCTTTTCTCAAAATCTTCTTCGTGGTCGGTATCCACCCCTATATAAAAGGGACGTAACCTTGTTAAACACCACGCGCCAAAAGGGCGGGACTATCCGGAAAATACACCTGCTGTCATTTTAAAATATAAAACAAAATATTTCAACTCGCATTATATGCTAAGTTCTTTCCGTAACATGTGACTATAATATTGCTATCGTTGTCATCTACGTTGTCGATGCGCAGTGTTTTTGTTTTGCATTTTATTTGTGATAAAATTAAAGCAGTTCTGAGGCCTAGTGGGCCTTTAAGCAAATAGTAGAAGTTTTGAAGCAAGCATAATGTAAGTCAAAATATCATCAAGCAAGATGGAATAAATGCACTTATCTGTTCCATAAATAACTAAATAAAAATTCATGACAATTTTGGCTCATTTCAATAATTTGGCCTTGACAAATAGTGTTAATAAGGTCAAGATCATATCAGAATGGTTTAACATGTCCATTTTGTCATTCCGCTATGTGTTCTTTGATCCATGCATGAAACAAATCTGTAATTTATGGTGGCTGTTTTGGAACACCTTTGTGACTTCTCGGCTCAAATCGAAGGAATGGCTATTTGTAAATATATAGGCAAAGCGACAGGGCGACATCGTGACAACGGACCATTTGGCTCGTTTCGCAAGCGACAAGACGAAACGGCGATGATGATGTATTTTGTGTTATCGCTTACGAGCACAGTTTACCAAATCAGACACCATAGTAGTGTTCGACATCATTTTCCGACCAATAAAATCGCTCCATTTTGTAAAAGATAGTCTTGAGTCTTTGGACAGGCAAATTTTGTCACTTTTTTTTAAGTCTATAATAGTAAATAAATAAAGAGTTTGGAACGAAGGGGTTTGACATTGGTAAAATTATAAGCGAGAACTACGTCAACGTTTCTTCATACAAAAATCAACTGAGGTCGTGTGTTTTCTTGTGGGTTTTTTCGTGGATAAATCCAATGAGACACTATTTTATAAATCCATGGTGGCCCAAACGTTTTGGTCATTTGGAACTAACATAATATATAAATCACAAATGAATGATGACTGTTTATCAAATTATGCACACAGTTAGGCACATGAACGGTAACGTTACACGACTGTTTTTACACATGGGACAAATGGGACCTCACATGTCTACCAAAAAACACGCATTTGGGTGACAAATGTGCTCCGATCAAGTTTTTAAGGGACAAGAAAGCACATTTGTCTCACGTGTTTTAAAGGACAAGAAAGCACATTTGTCTCATGTGTTTTAAGGAACAGGAAAGCACATTTTTCTCATATCATTTCTTATGAATTATTTGTCACATATTTTACCACGGGAGATTTTTTTTAGAAGCGAGGTCCGCCGTTTTATCTTATGATGTTATGTTAAGTTTTTATCATATGCTTGTTTTTTTATGAAACATTAAACTTAATAACTACAGTGGAACTATTTAATATCTCTAATTCAAGAAATTGGATTGGCTGAACTTGAAGGCGTACACTTAAAAATACAACATTCCGTTAGCGATGGTACAATGGTGAAAGCGCGATGGCACGATGGTACGAAGATGAAAACGCGATGTTCGGGTGGTGAAAACACGATGTACGAACGTGAAACAACAATTGCACGATGGTGTAACAACGAAGGCATGGTGATGAAAACGTAATGGTACGATGGTGAAAAAACGATGGTACTATGATGAAACTGTGATGGCATGATCATGAAAACGCGATATTATTTTCACTATCTTGTAATCCATAATCGTGATGTCACCATCGTGCCATCATTTTTATCATCGTATCATCGTCCTTTCACCATTATACCATTGTGAATCACGGTTCAGAGAGACAATTAATGTTACTTATGTCCAAACGGAACACCGTAATCAGGCGATATTTTAAAAATACAATACATTGTATCGTGAGCAGTTTCGCATCTCGCCGGATTATCACCTCTCCCTTCGTATCTCGACATCTTTGCGAGACAAGAAAATCTTTTGAGGCCATATACTGATAAACAGTATTCCCCCGATATTTCTATATAAAACTGACATTTTTCAAAGAGCTATAAACAGCTATTTTGGAGAACAAATCCTTATCTCATTTTAAAGAGTTACGACAAAACTGATATAAAATGATGAGAAAGGTAGGAGTAATGTATCTTCTAAGACACATTCGCTACTGTACTTTAAAATCCCACTGCTGTGACGTGGAATACCAGATACATGTATACTTAAAAGTTGAAATTCACTTTATTAAATACATGTACAACCTTTGCTCCCATGTTTTTCTACCAAAATGTCAATAACATATCCATGGTGAAATTTAAACGTGCCATGCACATTGAAAAAAATAGTGTCAAATAACATGTCCGAGGCCAGATGTCTCCCGTGCTGGTTTCTTTACCATAAACAGGCCTTTGAGAAGCACACGAAGCGATGCGCGATATTTTACCGGGAAATACGAAAAGCGTAATCCCGGCAAAACATGAAGCGAGGCTTACTATTATACCGTGAAATCTCGTGGTAGGGGATACTTCGACATTGCGAGATACCGTGTTACTATATCGTGCCTTGCTTCGTGTCTCGTCGGAATGTCGCATTTTGCGCGATTTGCGAGGCCCGAGAATAGTTTTTCATAATTATGGAATTAGATTCTACCTGAATTCTTTTAGGAACTCATACACGTACATAAGACCTTTTTCTACGGCGAATCTGAAAGCTGCAATTCTCGGGAAATGGCTTAGTTTTCTGCATTTGATAATTTAGGGGCCTTCGTGGCTGATTGATTAAAAAAAACACATGCCCCTAATCGCTGTAGGTTCGATTCTCATTCGGGTTTCGTACGCAAATGGTATTTTAAGTGAATTAGTATTTTGTATGTAAGTCAAAATGCTATTTTGTTTTAATTTTGGTTTGTCCAAGTATAAACCAAATATGTCCATTATCAGAAACTACAACGTTAAGTTGTATGTATTGGCATACAGAACTGCTTGTCTGCATTATTTAGCAAAGAATGAGGATTATGCAAAAACGTGTAGCCCCATAACCCAAAATTAATCATGATATTGCTTTTGGTCCACCCGTGGTCAAGGTCACTATTTATTACGAAAACAAAAGTAAAATAGTTTCGGGCATTTACTAGAAGTAGGAATGAAATATCAAACTTGGCATATAGTAAGCCTACAATCAAGACCCCAGCTGGGATTGCTTTTGAAACCCCTTGGGGTCATTGTAAATGTTACTGTTACTTAAACAAATAGGACGGACCATTACACAGGCGATTGAAAAAGGAAAATGGTTTATTTCCTTTGTTATTATTTTTGTTTAAGAGTGTCATTGGCTTTTTACTCTATTGTTTTATAACGAACTATAATTTTTCCTCATTTTTTATGTTTACATTTTGATGGCGCCTCGCCTGTTTTCGCTATTGCGGAAGCACACACGGACGGAGACCATTTCTTATAGCCGCTTTGCATTAGGCGAGGAGATATAAGCATACCTGATTTAGCTTTTTCATATTCTAGTTCTCTTTGTTTAGAAGAATCTTCTTCCTTGAGTCTTTGTTTCTCCTACAACAGAAATAATGATACAAATATTGTATTTTATTCGGTAATTTTCAAAATTGTGTTTTGTATAAAGATATTGGTATTTTCAGTCTGTCTTACACACAGTGTCCAAACTTATCACAAAAACATCGAATTGAAATATGACTGATTAAGTACTGAATCAATTTAATTTGCTTCATAGAAAATCAACTTTATTGCTACGGACGAATTATTTATTCCTGAAGAAGAATCTTTCCGACATTTCTGGTGCAATTGCACATACATTTTATTAAAATTATTAAACTTTCGTAAGAAATTCATCTGACTCTTGTCAATTTGTAAATGTTTAGAATAGGATCATTTGTTTGCAAAGGTTGTTCACAATCTATCGCATGGTTTATGCCGACATGTTGAAATTTACTGTATACAGTTAAGATTAGTTAAAGATCAAAATTGTATCCACTTGGTGTTGTCACAAGTGTATTTTGTCAAAGTATGAATCAAATCTGTCTTACAAACTTACTGTAATTTAAGCAGAATAAAACAAATTGACAAAGACTGTGAAAGTCCTAATAAGGTCAATGTCAAATGGGAGGTAAATGTCACCTTTTATCAATATACAATGTACCCACTTTTTATTTCATATACAGATGTATTCACAACCTTGAGAAGCAATGGTTGTTTCAGCGAAAAAGACTTTTGCTTATTTTTATACTTTAGATTTAAAACCCTGTCACTTCAACTAGGCTAGTAGAGGCGTACTAGTTTATGTTTCTTGTCAAATGTCTAAGCTCTAGTTCTTTTTGTTTTAGAGTAATATCATTTTGATAATATGGTTTGTTTTTACTCTGCACTAACACTGTAAAAGTCATGTGGCGACTTTCCAGTTTTACTGGTGGAGGAAGACTTCAGGTGCCAAAACAGACAGAAATAAAGAATCCATAAAGGACTTTCAAAACTTCAAAATTGTAAATGTCAGACTTGATTTGATTAAGCCTATTCATGTGTGGTAATTTAAAGTGAAATCTACCGTTCAAACCCACTAGCACCGGCTTAAGCAGAATTCAACATTTAATTATGTTAATGGTGAAATGGTTCCCTGAACGAGAAAACAATTGGCGGAACTAAATAAAAGGGGATCAGAGTTGCCAAGCAGTGCATTATTTCAGACACATACGGGCATGTGAGTAGACGTTCCATAAGCTAGCTGTACAGCTTCCCCCTCAGGAAAACATCCAAAGTCCTTGATTGCATTTGAACCCATAACGAGTTTTTTGTAAGTCAACGACCTTAACTGAGTCAATCGCAAACTTTTACTAAACATGTATACTGTACATCAATAGAAAACACATGGCCAACCACGGCAGGGTCAATCTTAAAAACCAAGAGTCATAATTTGAACAATCTTGGTAGAGTTGGGTGCTAAAATATATATCCTATAACCGTGGGATTTTTAGATAATATATTTTCAATGTTTGCTTAAACATTATGAGGAAATTCCATGACATTAGAACAATGGCAATTTTAACAGCAGAAGCATCATTTTAACATCTTTTGTAGAGGACATCTAGATCATGTTACATAGTACCAAAGATTTATACCTCATTCATTTTAAAATACATGTATATTTTTAGTATCAATTGTTAGCTCTGAGACTTACTTATGAAACAAACCTGTTCAATTAGAGCTATCACTAAAGGTGACTGATACCCCTACAAACCAACTTAACTTTTTGAAGTGACAAAAGACTAAACAAAATTTGAACTCGTTTTATATTTTATTTTGTTACATCAGTGCTAAAATTATTATTACAATTAAATTTCATACCAGAAACAAATTATCCATTTAACGAAATTGTGACCTTATCATCGAACCTGCCGGGTCCAACATCAATGCCTTGTTATTTCTTTTTATAAGCTTTCTTACATTCAACTTTTATTACAATATATTATTCTTTTCTATAGTTACTGTCTGGAAATCACTTTTGTCTATCTTTAGTAACAGTTACATTGACTTTTATTATTAAAATGTGGATAACAACACACAACGGGTATCACAAAAGCACACCAAAACTTGCTAACTTTATTGAGCGCCAGCTAATATTACTGTTCTACTATACAAACATTAGTTTCCTTTAAACATTTTTGCTTGTACATGTTCTGGTATATCAATCGGACAAAATTAATAGTAACTTTAAATCTTACCTCTTCTCCTTTGGATACCTGTCTTTCAATTTTCGTTAATTTATTTTTAAGCTCGTCATATTCCTCTTCCAAATCAGTTGTAGCACTTTCTGTTGATTTCAGAATTTTTAACATTTCTTCTTTAATTTGTCTAAACATTTCTTTATGGCCTTCCGTAGTAACAATGAAGTCCTTATTCTTTAACTGATGAAAATAACAATTTTGGTAAATTTTCTATCAGAGATAAAGTTGCAGCTATTTGATATATGTTATTTACCTAACTATTTTATATAAGATAAGGCTTGATTTCAAAATTAACTAAATTGTCGTTTTTTTCATCTCTCGTACATTTTCTGAGGACTTAGAATTCGCTTTTGTAACATGATGTGTGATAAATATATCTGATAGTCAGGCTTTTTACTTCACTTTTTATCTAAAAATATATTCATCTAATATTAATATTTTAAAGACATATATATTTCATATTTATTTGATTTTATCATTGTATGTTAACTTAAGGCGGTTGTTTCTTAAAAAGGACTATGATAAAAACAACCAACTTCGAGCACTTTTTTCAATTACCCTTATTATAATAATATGTCTGGAATTAAAAGATGTGTTATTTTAAGTCATAACTAAACTTCTTCAGATTTTCAAACTTATACACGTAATTCACTATTTATACTTACATCTTGGAGTTTCCGGACAGCTTGTTGAGCAGCTTGGTGGTGTAGAAGCTCCTTTCTATCCTGTAAAACTGTTATCATATCATCAATGTATGCGTTTGCCACCCTTTCCTCTAGCTCCATATTGCTGGAGTGAAAAATCTCATTTCTGTACTGCCGTACCTATTAAATGGAAAACAAATCCAAGTCGAATATACACACATAACTAAGCTGTGATAAACAAAGAGACTAAACAGGACTTAGTTAAAATTAAAGCTGTTAAGCAATATACCTCAAACACAAAAAAAACAAGAATTTCTAACATAATTACAAACGTCCCCCACATTAGAGAATTTTACATGAAACACATAATTGTGTTATTTAAAAAGATTGAGATATGATCTGGACTTTTAGTGCAAAATTGGATCATTGCTAGATCTGGACATGCCAGTAGTAATTAATACATTAAAAAATGATCTTCATTTGTGACCTTGACCTTGGTGGTAGGCGACTGGTTTTTGAGCAGAACACATACTTTTTTCATTTTGAATTTTTTTGTATAAAGTACTATCAAAATCCCTCCATTAATAAGAAAGTTATGGATTGGAACATGACATACGCCCTCCCTCTCATAGACAGTGTTGACCTTTAATAACCACGTGAGACCTTTACCTTGGAGGTAGGGGTCCGCTTTTGCGCATGACACATTGTCTTATTATTAAAAATATTTCTGCCAAGTTATTTAAAATTAGTTTGATAAAAGACATAGTTATTGATTGGACATGACATGTAACAGAAGGACAGACGGACAGACAGACAAGCGGAGTCTATTTCTAGATCCCGCTATTTTTCTTGAAAAGGTTGGGGACAAAAATGCAAAGAACGGAAACGGTAAATTGAAGTTGTCCACATGTGAAACCCTAAGTTCAAGTGCTGATCAAAATTTCTGTTCAGTTTGTTATCTCAAGGGTCAATTTTAAGGCTAGTTTAAACTGTTATACCTAATCACAATAAAATGTGTTACATAACAAATTTTCAATCATTATGGCTAATTGTAACTCTGGCAAAATAACTGCATTTCCTTCATGGATTTATGGACATAACGTCACTTAAATGCAGTAATGGGTTAATTATATTTAAATTCAATAAGAAAGTATCAAACTTTCTCAAAATAAAAGAGATTATCGTCACCTTGGTGCAGTAACGATTTAATTCTTATGACAATAGTATTCAACAAAATTAAACATTTATAAAGAGTATACAAAAGGACTTACCTTTGAAAAAAGATTTTTTGGTCCTGTTACATTGCATCCAATATGATTATGAAAATATTTGTTATTTATGATAACATGTAGTAACCCTGTGCAGTCCATGTCGACTGCGACTGCTGACGTCTTGTCCTTGTACCCAGGAGCATTTATAAAACATTTACATATACTCCATGGGTCAACGGACCAATCATGGGGATCGCTGTTTTTCCAAAAAGGTGCCGGTGGTATTGATGCATGATTCTGTATAATGCTATCATAGATGGCACCACACACGTTGTTTGGGCATGGTTTTTTATTATTTGGAAAGCAACAGTTACATTTATCTTGCTTGAGTGGACATATTCCTTTTGAGATTCGGACGTGGTCTGGCTGGAGAGTAGATATCTGACAGACGCCACATGGTATATTTGGTTTAGGCGTCTTTGTTACTTGAATTTGGTTTATAATATCTTTGTGGTGCTGTTTTCCAATGTCATCACAAAATGGTGCTAGTCCCTCTTTCAGGTAACCTAAGCCTAGGCCTGCCTTGACCCACTGTCGGTATTTGTTGTTCTTTAAATGTATCTCGTGCGCCATCATGATTTCTAGAAAAATAATAAGTTTTAGCTACATTTGTAGAATAACAAGGAAAACCAATTTAAACTACTACTGAACATAAACAGTTCCATGCCAAGAAAGTTTGGCCGAGTAAATGGTCCGTGACCTTTGACTAACAATGAAGACACGGTCACTATCACAAACTGGTCATATTGGCCCTAGATCCCTCCCTGAGATTAATAGTTAGAAATGGGCATCATTTCTAAATACAGAATTAAATAACTAGATCACATTGAGACATGTCTGACAGTGCTTCAGACAAGATGCGTACCTTTCCCAAATAAATATAAATCATAAACAGCTTTTCAATTATTTGAATAAAACATTCATTTTATTATCACTTTAATTGCATGCTTACGCAAACCCAACGGGAAATTTTTGGTTTAAACTTTGCGAATTTGCACAAAAATCAATAAAATAATTTCTATATCTCCGCATGTGCTGTATGTTTGGTATCACATTTCAAAGGTGTCTGGTACAAAAATAATACAGAGGATTCATCATTATTAACCCTGACAGTTTTTAATTTTACAAAGAGCGGATGTCTAAATTAAGTTCATCTATAAGCCACTCTAAGTTCTGTTTCAAAACTTTTTAACAAAGGGTACAACTTTATCTATTTCACTTTATTGGTATGGATTTGGAGAACGATATAGTTCCCTTGGTTAGAACAATTTTTAGAACGTCGGTGGCTCTACTTAGGTGCCCTTTCCCTTTCGTGCCTGAAAAAATGCACGTAAGGGCACCTGAGGTCTTCCTCCACCAGTAAAGCTGGAACGTCGCGATATGACCTATACTGTGTCGATGTGACGTAAAACCCAAAACAAACAAACAAATGTCAACTTATATCTATTTATAAGAGTGTCCGGTTTAATGATAAGTGGTTTCACTATATTCCACTTAATAACAATTGTGTAGTATTGTTTGAACAGGAAAACTTAACAAGAAACTGAACACTCATTGTTCAGTATTGGTTGGTTCCAAGAACGCATTCGAGACTGTATTAAGCTTCCTTCACAATCGAACTAAAAATAAATAACATACCACTTTGTTTACATTTGGTACTTGTATAAAAATTATTTCAAATTTAGGACTATAATTTTTCGGTGATATTTTAATATGCTCTTAGCGCATGTTTTAAAATAGAGAGACTTAATGTGCCTTTAAATGTGCTGTTTTATTCTCCACATCTTTAATTGTAATTTCAAGAACGGATGAGTTAATATTGAGAATAGTTCTGAAGGTTCCAATTTTTAAGGCTACGCGGCATGTTGTTTAATGACACTCGGTTCCATCAGTTGAGAACACAGTTATATAATCTGGGAATCAGCAAATTAATTTTAGCTTTGTAAACACATTTCTTTTATTTACTTAACAAGATAATATAATACAAGTTACTTTCTTTTGTGGTTGGGTATATATGAACCAAAATATAATTATAGTACCAATTTGAAAGAGATTTTTTATCTTATTTTAAGCATACGACATAATGAAAATTACCCCTAAAATGGCAGTTGGGGTATGTAATAATTGCTATGTGATAAGCCATTCGCATCTCCTCGGCACTTTCCGTCAAATTTCGTATAAGGTCCTCGAACACAATAGTAAGAATACATAAAACGGATACGGTACTTTGACCTAACCTACGCTAAGAAACTAAACATGTGAACAAATAGTAATGTAATACTTATAGTTGCTTCGCTAATTCATTCCAGTACATCGGATAAAAATTCAACAAATTTTAAGTCAATTCAAGAACTGACATTAAAGAAAACAGAACATTGTTTATATACTTATCGTTATGGTTGTAGAAAGTACAAAATGTCTACCTGTTGACATCAATTCTGATATGGTTATACTCGTACATTAGTGGGCATTTTCAAATTTATTATGATTGTCAGACATATTTTCATTCATAGTTGTACGAAAATAAACTTAATTTTTCTTTTAAGGTCAAATTTATAAACAATTATTACAATATCTGTTAGAAAGAACGTGGTAGAATTGCTTTCAATCCGTATTAATTTAGAGGTTATTATGAATAAAAGCCTTAATGTTTCGACCCTCGAGGGTTTGATAAGTGGTTGCCGAGTGCGACCCATATTTGAATAACAATTATTTAAAGCTTCATAGTACAATGTAAGTGACATTATTGTTTTGCAATGTTCGCACATTTAGGCAACTTTAGACAGATGTCAAAGGAAAGTAGATTATAATAAAATAAGGCAAATCCTCAAAGCGAGCTCTTTGACAGAATATTTTATATAAAAAACATCGGTTGCACAATTTTTACTACACATCTGCAAACTTCCGGGGAAAATATTCATTTACACTATTTAGTCTAAATCCTCTATATGTCTTACTAGTTGCGTTAAAATTTATTGTTTTGCTTGAATTTATTGTAAATTGTTCCACATACAATCATTCAATTTTTAGGTGTGTTACAGGTGAAAAATTAGAAAAAAAAACAAAGAAAAAAATACAATGAACGAATTTGGAGTAGCATTTTGGTGTATTTTCGCCAAACTTTATAAAAATTTTGATGGTAAAAAGAAAGGTTCTCCGAATGTCAGTTTGAATGAGATCCGTAATGAGACAGGAAACCAGAAAAATTTTCCCCGGCGTGCTTGTAACATGCTTGTGCCTGTTTGTAAAACTAGCGTACATTTTCTAAAATATGATCTTGCCCTGTAAATATTTATTGTCAAACTTGTAATATAATGTTAAACAGCCCAATGCGCTCATTCTTTTTTATATGCCAGAAAGAATTGTGGGCATATTATGTTATACCCACTGTCCGTCTGTCTGTCCGTCAGTCCGTCCGTTAGCAATTTGGTTTCCAGAGCATAATTTAAGTTCCATTTGGCCCACAATATTCAAACTTCATAGGATGATTGTCCATATTAGATAGAAGATACATATTGATTTTGAGGTCACAGGGTCAAAGGTCAAGGTCACTATTACCTTAAAACTGAAAACAGTTTCCGGAGAATAACTTAAATTCCGTTTGGCCCACAATATTCAAACTACATGGAATGATTGTCCATGTTAGATAGAAGACCCCTATTGATTTAAATGTCACAAAGTCAGAGGTCAAGGTTACTATTACCTTAAAACTGAAAACATGTTTCGCTCCATAACTTAAATATTAATCAACCTACAGCTGTAAAATTTTACAGGATGAACAGCCAAGTTTAAAACATAACTCCTATTGATTTTAGGGTCATAAGGTCAGAGGTCAGTATCACAATGATCTTTTCACTTCCCGAGCATAACACAAGTTCCATTGCTTACAGTGTTCAAACTTCATAGAATGATTGCCTATATTGAATAAAAGATCCATATTTATTTTGGGGTAACAAGGTCAAAGGTCAATATCAAATGACCTAAATATTGTTAACAGTTTTACAACTGTCAAATTTCATAGGCTTATCACTTATATTGATAATATTAATTATATGCCCTAAAGAAACTTGGTTATATTATGTTATACCCCTGGCGTCTTCGTGTCCATCCATCGTAGAATTTTACTTACAAGATAAGAACTTGATCTCGGTGCTTTGGAAACAACAAGTTTATATATATGAAGGTTCTTCAGCCAAAAAGGAGGATTGCTTTTTGAAAGAGGTAATACTTTATCTAATTCCCATGTCTTACAAATGCTTCATCCTTAATATAAAAAAACACGTTCGTGCATCTGCCTAGCGGTGGTCTTGTTTTCAGAGTTTGCTTACAGTATATGTGTCTGTCAAAGATTTTGCACAATCGGAAAAATCCGTGCTTTTTATATTTCTTCATATTATATATATTTTTTGCAGTTATTTATTTTATTGGAACGTATAGTGAAAGGAGAAACAAATACTTTTATGTTTTAAGCCTAACCTTAACGCTCTAAAATGCAGACAAGCCGGATGTAACACTTAAATAAAGTTTATCATGATCTTACTCATCAATGACCTTGACCGTGAAGATCAAATACTTAAATAAAAATCACGCAAGCACACAATGATTAGTGACGTGATATATATTTACATCCGTGTACAATGTATTGCATATGTAAGTTATAAGGTCAAATATGAACAGATTTTACTCCCAGCTACATACTTGTAGGGATCCGGTAGTAAAAGCAACATGAAAATAAGTTCATTGCATTGTACTTCCAGATAAGATTATACGGTTATATTAAATTAGGGACTCACATTTTAATTTCAGTGGCATATTTTATATACCTTTAGCAACTTGATATACCTTTAGCACAGGACCAAAAGAATATCTATTTGGTAATGTAGTTCCTTAGTAAAAGACGTCATTTTAAAGGACTTTCAACTACTTTGGCATATATTTTGAAAGTCTTGATTTTTAGAGTACAAGCAAATACTCATTTATGTGAAGTTTGGTCACAATCTAACCTGCGGTTAAGGAGATGATTTTATAAAGACAATGTAGATAACAAAGCTCGGCGGAAAACAGGCCATGCATCATAACATGGCAAGCAAAACTAAATTTATGCTGATGAATGTCCTCCTAAAAATACAAAGCTTAGATACTTGATGTGTAACATTACTTAGTTTTAGATATAGACTGACACATATGAGAGTATTGTGTAAAACTACATGGCTTAAAACTTTACAGTTTAGAGCTTTTATAATGTAGTGGGTTTCTACAAATGCAATTGATAAAATGATTGTCATCAGGGTTGAACACCGTTTTTTACATAGATAAGCCTCTGATGGCACATTTGAATATCCTTTTCTCAAAACTAGAGTTTGAATGTATATAATGTACAGTCGACCCTCGTTATCTCGAGGTCATCGGGACTAAAATTATCGAGATAATAACTTCTCGTAATCCTGATTTTTGTTACTCGGCAAAAGATATTTGATCTGCTTCAACTGGACTAAAATGGTTATTCCTCGGTGTTAGTTTAGTTAGGAAGACGTTTTGTATAATAACCAAAAGCTTTTATTCTCTACGCCCTGGGCGTGTTTGATCTTTAGTCTTGAAATTGACCTCGGATATTGAGTTTTGTGTATGGACCTTGGTTTTTTGATGATTAAAATGATTATCAATTGATCTACTTTTCTAATACTATAATTTAGCTTCAGTTCTCAAATTTGGTTCATTTGTACTAACAGTTTATCATGTTAAAAGGATTTTACAAGTGTCGGTACGGACCTTATATCTAGCTCGTGGGTAGCTGTTTACAGCGGTAAAAAGGCTGTGCTAAACTTTCCTCTAAACATTTATATATATAACATTTATATCTTTGACGATACCCGGTGCTTGGTTCTTTTTCTTGCATATTTATTTACATGTTTTCTATTTTCCGAAAAGAAATTATGAAAACTTCATATTTTTGTTAGTACCTTTTCTTATAAAAGCTTATGAACTTACAACTTTATCTATAACGGAACAATGAGATCATTCTAAAAACGCAATTAGTTCATAAAATCTGCGATGGAATAAGGTCAGTTCGGGCAATGTAAGAGAGGATTTCCAGCAACCGATTAAATAGAATATAGTCTTGACTTAAATGGAAAATCAAAATATCTGATGTATGTTATTGTAACTAATACGTCACAGGATAAGATTGCAATGAAAAGCATTTGGTCCAATTCCACAGAAGAATGTTCAGTTATACACAACGTACTTTTCAAACGACTTTTACGGTAAAAAAAGAGTTGACATTTGTGCGTTTTTTTTTATTTCAAGCGCACGAGATACTTTGTCATGGCCACGAGATAGTTAGTCGTGCGAATGAGATAATTAGGAAGTGCGCACGAAATACTATATCCTGGCCACGAGTAAATAAATCATGGGAACGAGGTAATTAATTAAGTGGTGCACACTAGATACTATGTCGTAGCCACGAATAACTAAGTTCTGCGAACAAGATACTATGTCGTAGTCACAAGTTACTAAGTCGTGGGAACGAAATAATCGAGTGGCGCACGATATACTATGTCGTGGTCACGAGTTATCAAGTCGTATGCTCGAGATACTCTGTCGTGGGCACGAGTAACAAAGTCCTTGGAACGAGATAGTTAAGTTGCACGCACGAGAAACTAGGTCGTGGCCACGATTTACTAAGTCTTGCGCACGAGATAATTAAGTGGTGCGAACGAGATACTATGTCATGGCCAAGAGTCACAAAGTCGTGCGCACGAGATAATTAAGTCGTGGGCACGAGGTAATATGTAGAAACGAGATAATAAATCAAACAGATTACACTATAACTTTGCATTTTGTGTTACCTACAATTGTGCAATAATACCATACTGCCCCTACTTCACTTTTCTATCACAGTGTCATAAATACAAGTTATTGATTGGACAATAATTTTACACTTAGTGTCATTGTGACACTGATTTATTTTTACCAATACCCTCAATATCATAAGGTGTCATCTATTGATCAGTTGCAATGTACATACAAGGTTATAAAACCCATGGATTTTATACCAAGAATGAGACAAGAATTTTACATGAAGTGTCATGGTTACCTTGACCTTTGACCTATGACCTCAATCATCAATGTAGGTCATCTACTGGCCATGGGCAATGTCCCTAGAAAATGTAATAAACAAGGGCGTATTCCTTTTTAAGTATCATATGAGCTAGGTTAACAGGCCGTTAGTATGCATACATACTGATCATCCCTATCAGAGGATTGTCACACAAAGGGAGTTAACATAGTCAAAATTAAAGTATAATTAAAGGGCCTTGGATAGTGATCTCTTAATATGATCCTTAGAGCATATACTAAGCATAAAGTGAATGCTTCAGTAGTTTTAAAGATTTATGTTGCATTTACAACTTAAACCAGAAAGTTCATATACATGTTTATAGATTGTTATCTGATTTGTTAATCATCTTGTGCGCATGACTTAACTATCTTGTTCGAACCACAAAGTAACTCGTACCCACGACTAAGAATTATATCGTGTGCACGACTAAGTAATTCATGTGCAAGACATAGTATCTCATGCGCACCACCTTATTTTTTCGTTCCCACGACTTAGTAACTTGTGGCAATGGCATAGTATCTCGCGCGCACGACTTAATAACTCGTGGCCACGACAAAGTATCTCGTGCGCATCACCTAATCATCTCGTTAGTTTTAACTACCTTTAGTGTCAACGTTCGACCCCAAAGTGCGATACACACTCAGGTATATATGCATTGTTAACATCAAGCCAACGAACGCACTCTGAGTGCTTAAAATTAGATCAATATGAAAGAATTTGAATTAAAATATATAATTGTAGTTTGTGTCATTTGTAAACTATAGATAAGGAAGAAAGTAGGCGAAATTATAATAATTATGTTTTATTTTCAATTATTTCTCTTATAGGATATTGACCTTAAAGTATAGATATTCTTGGGTGTGTATTATGTGCAATAATACATTAGATAGCATATTATTTAAGCCTTATCCATGAACTAGCGTTGTGTGCCGACAATTGTCACACATTTTCATCTAATCAAAAACCAGTTCCTTATATAATTACGAGTCCATTAAAATCTAAATTTACCCTATTTCCTGTTATATTATTAAAGGAAGGTAATGTTTCTAAATTAATTAAATATAGTTATTTCAATGACACAAAAATAATTCAGGCTGTGTCAATCTGCCACAACTGGGGGGAAATAGAAAATTTAAGATGGATTCCAAGATAGATGCCATATTGAAAGAATCGTACATCATACTCAACAAAATCATGGCTTAAAATATATATACAGTAGCATCCCTACTTAAAACTAACCCAGATGTAAGACCACCCCGCTATTAAGACCATCTTTTAAGCGAACGGAAAAGTATGTTCTTTATGTCAATAGTTGCATGATCCAGAACGATTATCCACTTTTAAGCTAAAGACCACCAGATTCAGTCCCAATTCTTTGATTTATTCTTTATTTGAACACACTATTGAGACCACTGATTTTAAAGTCAACACCTACCAAGATCACATATTTGTTGTAATATTATCTCCTTGAATGCTCTTAGGCATAACACTTGATTTAATAATGTGTCAAAAACTGTTTTCATCAGGTTATTGTATGAAATAGGGTGTGAAAGTAAAATTTAGAGTTATTGTGGTTCATTGTTGCTTTCATAACATTTATTTTGCGAAGAAATAGTTCCTTATTTGATAGGTGAAATATGTACATTATATAATAATTAATATTGAAAACAGACCCAAAATAAGTTAATATTAAATTTCCCCAGAAAATGTTTTGCTCTCATCTGATTAAACATAATTACATATATTGTATTTGTAGGTTAAGATTCATATTGTGTGTTCATACAAAATGACTAAAATAGACCATGGTCATTAACTATGTAATCAATGATAAGAATACCCGCAATTAAGACCACCTCGCAATTACGACCAATGTGGTCCAGTCCCGATGGTGGTCTTAATTGAGTGTTTTAACATATATGTTGATATTTCAAGTGGTTAAATTAATAAAACATTTACCAATTAGGAATCATACCCATCGTTTATCTAATTTATGCTACATCGGAATGTAAATGACTCTTAGTAAATTTGCACAGTGATGTATATGGGTATCGAACGACATCTTGAACTTCAATGTCGCAGATCGGAAATAAGTCAGTTCTCGGTATTAAAGCAGAACTAAGATGATATGGAACCCAAACTGCGTTGATTTGTATCATATTAACGTACTTTGTGGTCAATTTATCGATTTTGCCCTCAAAGTGCGTTTGCCCCCAGGTGCACTGTGAAGTTTACCGCACTTTTGGGTCAGACCCAAAAGTGCATTTGACCCCAAAGTGCGGTGTTACAGTGCATAAAGATAACATGGATAATAAATGAAAAACATATCAATTTAACCTAGAGACTAAGTTTATGGTAATTGTACAAAACTTACCTCTATCGACATTCTACACGACACATTTTCTGTTTACGCATAAATTGTTCCTTTGTTGAGTGCATGAATAATTTCACATATTGAAAAAAACATATATATAATGCCAGAAGGAATATAATAGCTAGCACAAGTATGCCATGTTAGTGCGTATAAACTTTCCGTTTGTATAAGAAATAACTGCCTTAAGTAAACTGTTTGTGTGATTTCAACCACTTTTCAGTGAGGACGCTTTAATAGAATATGTAAGTCAAAGCGGATTGGTTAATTTCGCGCAGGACATTATTTACTATCATTAGATCTGCTTTTTTAACGAATGATTTAAATTTCAAACAAGAGCCACAGCTAATCGGGGGCAATGCTCGACTATTTTTCTTATAATGTAAAAGACATGGGACTAAAATTATTTTAGTATAGACTACTCCAAACAAAAACGAGCAAATAAAATTATTTAAATTTCATATTTGACATTAACAGTCAAAGTCATTTAAAGCTCAAGGTCACATTTGAATTAATAAGTTTTGTCAGATGCGTTCATTTGTCAAAGAATTATTCCAGTCCTAAGTTGAAAAAAATAAAATAAAATTGATCACATAATCATACCGCTTTTTCGATCGACTCCGTACAAATGCTATTGCAGGGCCGTGCATATATTTTGACGTGAGGTCGTTTGCGTTATACAAGTAATAGAAAGAGCATCGAAACACGAGGCTATCTGTTTTATACGAGTGGGCGTAGGGACCTTTGTTTTGAAAATGTGTTAAATCGTATACATTTATACATTTACATGCACAGTGCATTAACTTGTGTGCAGGTATTAGTTACCCGTACACCAGAGCATTGGTTACTTTTTTCTGGGGCAACAGGGAACGTGTTTTTATGTTTGACTATGATACAAAAGAGAAATACATAAAAACATTCGGCAATCTGATTAATCGTACACATCAGATAAATTCGTTTTTTGATGCTCTTTCTATTACGTAAAGACGCGCTTAATGTTAGCGTTTCACTTTTGGAGCGCTAATCAAAAATGAGACTTTTGAACTAAAAAACAATGATTATTTTGCACTTTAAACAGTCTTTATTCATATAATGTGATAAATAGAATATTACATTCGTGTAGGTTGATTACTTAATTTTATTCACTAATATTGTGTTTGCCAGAAGTTCGCATAATATGATTTTATTCAATAAATTCAACATTGATCTTTCAATCATTTACAATGTAATATCCTCTATTTATAATTGTTAACAATTTTATAAGCATTTTTATTTAATCCATAGGACATTTTGTCCGTTAAAGAACACAAAGTTTGTAAAATGAGCCGCGCAGATGATCGGAGAAGTACACAATATTAACATTTATGTCACCGTTTCATTTATGCATAAAAAATTTCATCTCTAGTTAATTGTATAAAAAACTTAATTTAAAGGCCCATTATGCCTCAAACACAAATAAATGTTTACTTTTTTTAGAGACGGCAATTAATTTCATAATGTTTAAATATTGGTTTTTGAGAAAGGTTAAAAACTTGTTACCTGAACAACTATAGATACATGTGATATAATTTATTATAAAAGTAGCAAAATGTAAAAATGTAGTATTTTGACTTCCATACAAAATACTTATTCACTATTAATATTGCCAAATAGCAGCAGATGAAAAAAATGGTTTCGGTAAAGACTCAATGAGTAACTGTTTGGATACTATGAGAGTACACCAAACTTAACTTTTTCCCTCATATAGACGTGTTTTGACGGCTTTTTGTCCCCCTCCCCCCTTTTGAGGCCTCAAACAGTGAAAAAATGTCCAATTTAGGCCCAAAAACACTGTTTTTTCGTTTGCGGAATGTTGTTTTAAAAAGTAATCATTTTTTTGTCGCCCCCCCCCCCTGAAAATGATACATCAGGGGGTTGCAAAAATGGGGGATGTGCCCCCACTGTTTTGGGGGTTTGTAGGGGGACGGCAGTCTCTTCATCGCCAAGAAAATTTTGGATCATTTTATATGACAGGCTAAAAATGGCCAATTTGCAGTATTTTGAACCGTATTTCCACTGCGTTTGTAACGCAGTAAGGGCTATTTTTGCATATTTTGAGCTCTTTTTGTTGATTTACATGGGTTGTTAGTGCTGTTTGAAATGTGGAAATTATTATCTTCGTTCATTTCACAATGTTTTACTTTTCTATGCATTTTCTCATTTTTTATGAAAAGTATGAATTTAGAGGCGCGCTGCTTTAACGCGCTAACGCAATACCATTACGTAAAGACGTTCCTGAGGTTCCTTACGTTATGGCCAAATTTAGAATTTGAATTGCTTGTATTTGGCTCTCGTGGAGTAAACTATAACGGATTGTACAACTTTTGTGTCTCGTGAGATAGAAACCTATTATCTCGCTAAATACTAGATCCACATCAAGATTCAAGACTATTTCAATAACCCTATTTAAAAACAGGAAACACTTTCTAGAACTTGATGTTATAATCAAATCGCTTTGTCTCAAATATAAGTTTTCATAATTATTATACAATAGATTGAAATATTAATCGATGTTATCTAGAAAATAAAAGAATAAGCTTTAAGGTAATATCATGTTGAGAAGACAAAACAAGAATATTCAAGCACTCTCAAAGGTGAATATCAGATATTTTACATAATTATATACATATTTTAATATTTTATTTTCAGTAAAATTAAAGCCCGTCATGTATGTGTGATCTGTCATGACGTTACTGGCATGATTTCCTTACACCTTACATTGGCTACACGACTCAAATTAATGTTCTGATCAATATCTTATTATAACGTTATTTCATTGAATCACACGATGTTATATAACAATAAAATATATACATATATAGTAACTATATTTTTATTTCAATCAATCATACCACTCACTTTTTTGATGAAATTTACTCGAAAGAAAGCATATGACCTATACTGTTTTGGTTTTTAAAACCCAATTTTAAAAACAAACTCACGAGAAATAGCATGCGTTGTGATGGATTTATCATGAATCTTTTTCATCGAGCAAAATAAGTAACGACAAGACAAAATGGGATATGTATAAAATCCCTGTCATCTTCGTGACAACAAATCATGCTAAAGAAATTTTTTTAAGAAATTCATATTAATGCCAAGCCAATTATATACTTGTACTTAAAATCACAGCAAAATTACATTCAGCCCATTTAATCTGCTTCTATGAAAACTAAACTAAACAATAACCGGAAATTATCTATACTTGTGTTCGCTTTAAATGAAGTTCACTGTAGTACTAAACTTCCCATATACAAGGACATAAATCATGTTTAAATGATTGTACATAACATAAACTAGGCTGTATTTCAAAATACAGCGGCAAAGTATATGCTGATCAACAGGAAAGTATAATTGAAAATATCTCCGGTTACAATTAATACATTTTAATCATCACTGAATGTATAATATATTTCAGTTTTCGACACTTATCAAACAATGTAACGAGGAAAAGCTGTGTCCGGCTCCCATCTTAAACTGACTTAACATGATGAAATTATTTACATGTAGCATGACTTTTATCTATGAAAATATCATGTATTGCAAGATATAAAGCAACAATTATAATAGTTTAAAGGAAGAAAGTACTTAAGTAACATCCTCATCACCATTAAAATGAAGATAAACATATCATATATTTTAAGCAACTTATAATCATCGAAGTGTTTTCATTTATATAATGTATATAGTGACTAAAGCTATTTAACCTGTATGCCTCCAGATTATCCAACATATTTCATGAACATCAAACTTGAGAAAATATATTAAACTTTTAAGACTAATAATTAATATTTTATGTGCAATAACTGACTGATTTTGCAGTATCTATTACCATATTTTACCATACTTTTGCGTGACTTGCGAAGTAAGAGATATGTTTGCATTTTTTCATTCTTTTTGGTTATTTGCATGGTTTGTAAGTGCCGTTCACGATGTGTAAACTTTGTTCACTTAACACAATTTGACTTTTAAATTCATTTTCAAAATTGTCATTGACAATTAGCATTAATCCGGATGTACGCTGCTTTAAAGGATGAATCTAGAACCTTATTTTCCTGGTACATATACAATGGCAAGGTTTATGTAAATTGAAACTAAATTGTTTCATCTCCTCATTAGTACTATGTTTATATAACCGCATGTATTATACGATAAATTTTGGTACAGTATTTACAGTATTTGCGCCAAGTGTTAAAATCTTTATACGATGATTAATTGAAAGCCAATGTGAAAAAACCTAGAAACAATGGACTAAGAAAAGTATATTCAGAATAATTACACAAATAAAACAACAATCTGTTTCGGACATCACATAATACCGGTGCTAGAGGGCATGGACGGCAGTTTGCACTTTCCATGCCCATCCAAAAACATACTCAATCAAACCGAGCTTGGACGTTCTTTACCCTACATTTTCATTGGATTAACTACCAAATCTGCAGTAGTATGGGCGGAATTTACACACTTATATCAAGTACAATATATTCATAATTAAGTGGTGCAGTCAACTTCAGCGATTTCATTGGTTCAGAAATGTTGGATTTGCTCTTATTTATATCAATTTTAAATATATCATACCAAGATGATATGAACACATATTTGATCTCTTTTCCTGTACGTGAACATCACATGTGTGTATCCATTGGGAGCTAGGAGTCATGGCGACCCCTCATACTCGCCCCGACTGGGGTCATGCTTTTTTGTTTAAGAATAGTCATTAAACATATATTTTTACATTAATTTATGTGTCCTTTGTGAAATTCACACATGACCCCCACTCAAAAACAAATTAAATTTCACATCCCCTCCCCTTTAGAGTATGCATAACTTATTGTCAAAATCCTTCGCTGGTAAATTATCTTTGTTCAGAACTCCACGTCTGTATCAGTAAAGATCTTTCCAAGTGCAATGGCGACTGTCACGTGCATTTTAGAAAATCTTTATGTGCTCGGTTTACGACACATAAAACCTTTTCAATAAATAGTGCGGTTGCTCTGAGTTTAAAAATGTGACTGTGCTGAAAAAAATGCAAGTTGCAAAATATGCCTTAGATCAAACATGTTTACTCAATATATACTAAATTCAATCTTGTTTGGTACTAAATTAAACCTTAATTTCTACTTAATTAAATCTTGATTGGTACTAAATTAAATCTTGATTGGTACTAAATTAAATCTTAATTGGTACTAAATTAAATCTTAATTGGTACTAAATTAAATCTTAATTGGTACTAAATTAAATCTTGATTGGTACTAAATTAAATCTTGTTTGATACTAAATTATATCTTGATTTGTACTAAATTAAATCTTGATTGGTATTAAATTAAATCTTGATTGGTACTAAATTAAAGTAACAAGTAAAACCTGCAACACC